GCAGAGAAAGGCCAGCTGTGGAGATGTTGAGTACCCACTGAAAGCTTCTTTCCATCTGCATTTGATAGCAGACAGACATCAGAAACAGAGCTTTGTCTTCCAGAAAAAAAGAAAGCAAGAGTGAGTCAAGAGCCAAGCAGACTCACAAAAGAAAGCACATGCCCAAAGCCGACGGGTGTCCAGGAGCAGGCGAGATACACTGCACAAGGGAACACCAGGCTCTTTCACATCCCCTAAGTGCTGAGCCAGGGAGGAGCCAGATTGATAGACAGGACCAGAGGTGCCAACTATAGGCAAAAGGGTCCAGGTTTTCTTACAGGTAGCGAGAATGACACAAAAGTGGTTGTGAGGATGGCTATGAACACGGTAAGAGCCACATGACCACCAACTGGCCACTTTGAAGTGCACAGTGTCTAGCTGGATCTCAGTAAAGCTGTTAACAGCAACAGAATGGGATATATCATATTGCTTTGAAAAGCAGCCAAGAAATGAAAATTACAGTTAGATGTTTAGGGGAGAAAATCACTAATTTAGAAAATACCAGAAAAGAAAATAACTTGAGATCTGCTGAAGTAAATTAAAATGGAGTCCCAGCCTGGAGAATCCTGAGAAGATGGAGCCAGGCAGGCAGGCCTCCAAAGTGACCCAGTGTGCTTGGTTTGCAAACATCGGGAATACTTGGCTATTGCTTGTAAATGCCTGTGTTAAAGAGAAACAGAACCTAAGCTCCAGCAGTCACAGCCCCAAACAACTTACAGTTACATAACGAGGGCTTTCCAACAGTGACACATCTAGCTGCACCACTGTGACCAGTCAGATGTATCTGCTGTATTGCCACTCTGTGTTGGTCCTGTGGCAGCCTTATTGGGTTCCTATACCACCTCTGGTTTAGAGCTATCTGTCTTGCTAATCTTTATGGGCTCAAAGTCTTTACAGCATTATTGTGCCTCAGTTTACAACACACAATTTACAATATTCATCCACATCCTCATTGATGCAAATAATAAACATCTATTAACTAACATGCTCACATGACAGGGCCTGTGCTGAGGACCAAGAATGAAAAACAAAGCATGTCCCTGTCCCAAAGTGGTCAGTGTTTGCTAAGACAGAGAGGCAAATGCCCAGAGAACTTCCTGATTCGTTAAAGAAGTGAATTTTCAGTGCATGCCTTTGATCTCAGCACTTGGGAGGCAGAGGCAGGAGGATCTCTGTGAGTTCAAGGTCAGCCTGGTCTACCTCGTGAGACCCTGTCTCAATAAAAGACCAAAAAAAAAAAAAAAAAAAAAAAAAAAGAAAAGAAAAGAAAAGGAAATGAATTTTCAACTGCAGCTTGAGGTAGCATTCACCTCTGGCACTTTCCAGTAACAATGTACCAGTTGGGATTCAACAATATGTTATTATAGTCAGGAAAGGGTCCCAAATACGTCTATGAAGGTACAGTTCTATGATAGTGGAAAGTTGGAGAAAACATCCATGTCGAATAATAAAGTATGGCACAAGTCACAGATTGGGATTCTCTGTAAACATCTCTTAAAATTATGTTGGATGGGACTGAAAAGATGGCTCAGCGGTTAAGAGCACTGATTGCTCTTGCAGAGGATTCAGGTTCAGTTCCCAGTGACCACATGGTAGCTACCAACCGTTTTCAACTCTAGTTCCAGAAGACCCAATGCCCTCTTCTGACTGCCATAGGCATTGAACTCATGGATGCACTTACATATATGCATGCAAAGCATTCATACACATAAAATAAAAAATAAAGAAATAAATGAAATTATGTTGGATACTGGAACACATTGGAAATATTTGTTATCCATTAAGTGGTGAAACTCCAGTATATGTGATGATGTTACTTTGTGTATAAATGAACAAAAAGTTTTTTACATAAAAATGATCTGTGTTTGGTGCCAAAATTGGTACCAAAATGTTAACAGTGGTGAGGTCTGGATGATGTAGCTTCAGGTGGTTTATTATTTTCCTTTTGGTTTTTTTTTCTTCAAAGTTGAATTTTTTCTATAACAAGCATGTACTATAGACAGAAACTGTTCTGAAACATTATTCCGATTTAAAAGACAGGCTACCCTGAAAGGCAGATGCCTCACCAAGATATGAAACACATGTCATTTAGAAAAAGAAACAGCATAAGCTCATACTGGCAGGATCAGTGTCATCTGCTGTCACTGTCTCAGGGCTGCTCTGGTGACAGGAGCAGCTCACACTGCCCTGGTGGCACTGGCAGCCAACACAATGCTCCATGTCCTACCTGCTGACCTTCTGATGATGCTGCTTAACTAACACACAAAACACTCAGAAATCCAGAAATGAAGAAAACAACAGGGAAGGAGGCACCCAGTGAGGGGTAATGATCACCAGGCCTGGAGAGATGGAGATTGACTGAAGGAAGCTCACACATTCTGCCTATCATGGAAAAGAGCTGGCCAGATGGCTCTCAAAGATTCTTTTGTATGAAATAATGCCCATCAGAACATCACTGTGTCTGGAGGCATGATGGGTCCCAAGCAGGAAGCTGGACTTTGATTGCCCCCTATCTCCTGGATTCTGTACCCCAAGATCCCTCAGCTGCAGCCATGGTTAATGTCTCAACTTACCTGAAACACTGGATTATGACAATGTTCGCAATACAGTTTATTGCAGTGTTTTGCAAGTGCCTAACAGTTTGGGTCTGTTTACTGTGGGGCTGGTATGTCCCATTATTAACTCTTTCAGTTACCAAAGAAAACAGCACAGGGATCTTGCCATTGTTCTCTGTCTGTAGACAAGGATGCTGAGGCAGAGAAGGGGACTTGGTCAATGATACAGACACCTGCTCACCCCAAGGTAGAAGCACTCACCTGCACTGATCTTCAAAAACCCAACCCTGAAAAAAAAGCAATACTGATAAGATCACATTACAGATGAGATCACATTAGATACGTCTGTTGTTTTCCGATATGTATATCGGTAAGACTTGCTAGTTCAGATGGCCAATCAATTATATTTCAATTTCAAAAGGCATTTAGTCAATGCTGGCATCCTTCCAAAACACATGAGAAATACTGAGTAGATAGGACAGTCAGGTGGGGGCCAGCACTGAGGCTGGCATGACACCCAGGCCCACAAATGTTGGTTCTTGTTAGAATCAAAGACTGCTGTGTGGTGGAGTGGCATGCTGCAGCATGTGTGTATGCTTTTGAAAACATGACCCATCCTGAGGACAAGCCATCCTCACTGGCCAATTTTGTAGTGGTTCAAGGAGATAGAGGAACAGAGGAGGGCTAAGATTCAAAAGCACCTGACAGACTCATTAAAAAGGGAAATAAAAATGAATGAGAGTAAAGTATAGGAACAGGCTGTAATATATATAATTCTAGATTTGAAAGAATCAAAGAACTGAAGATTGAAGATCAGGGAAAAGAATCCCAACAACTGTACAAATGAGACCCAGACCTGGAGACTTGAGTGGAACAGAGCCAGGACCATGGGCAACTGTGTTGGGTGTCAAAAAAGGTGGTGAGTATTTTGGCTAAATAATAGAAGTACAGAGTCTGCAAAAAAAGGGTGGGGGCAACAGGCTAGTTCAGTACATAGTTACTGTGACCCAGAGACTTGGCAAAAGGTAAGAGTCTGAAAAGGGTGGCCCAAGGTGCAGCGGGGCCTGGGCACTTCCTCCTAAGAAGAACAGCACAGGGCCAGAGAAAAGAGGCCTAGAAATCACCTGGATCCCTCAGTACCTGTGAAAACACCACCAGCTGGGCACTATTTGACAGCTTCCAGAGCATGGCCTTGCTTATCTGCTTATTGTGTCAAAGGATTGCCCTCCCTTGCAGCCACATGTACCCAGAGGGCTGGCAGGGAGCACCTGTTCTCAGAGGCAGCTTGTGCTTAGAAACAGAACAGCCTCAAAGGCACAGGCCCCAGAAGCAGTCATTTCCTGTGGAAGATGGTGGCCTTCCAGGGGTAATGGTGCCTGGTCTCTTAAACTCTAAATCCAATGATTGGTTACCAGGGAGAAAAAGCCTTCCTTCCAGGCCTGGTGCAGGAAGCAACCTGGAGAAGAGTATTTCTCTCTGTGCAAACAGTGAGTGACACAGTCACCTCCAGAGGCCTCCTGGCACCCAGATCCATCTGAGGTCCCTGTCATAGCAGGGGGTGTTAGTCTTCAGACCCCCATCACCCATCACAGGAACTTGTCCCTAGACTGGAAATCTACACCCAGGCCTTCCAACGTCTCTAGGGTTTGCTTAGGAGACCCTGTTTCCTCTTCTTAGACCACTGCTGTGGAGGAGGCAGTCCATGCAACTTGAATGGCATAGGGTGTGAGTGCAGGTGAGTGTAAGCACTTAATTATGAGTGCCTAAATATGAGTGCCTGTGTAGGGGTGTGTCTGTCTGTCTGTCTGTCTGTCTGAGAGAGAGAGAGAGAGAGAGAGAGAGAGAGAGAGAGAGAGAGAGAGATGAGTGTGTGCATGCCAGTGTGTCTGACAGTGAGTGTGAGAGAGCTCTCTGTGTGTGAGAGCATCCGACTCTGTGTAATGGAGTGCTTATCCATGAACCATGTGTGTGAGAGTGTGATTGTGAGACTATGAATCACAGTGACTGTGACTGTCTGTTGTGGTTGTATGCGCGCACCCAAGGGTGTGTCTGGGTGGTGTTGAGTGTGAGGGCTAGTGAGCATGTATGTGTAGGTACATGTGTCTTCTGAGTGTGGCTGAATGTGAGTCTAGAAGCCCATGAGTGTGAGAGCGTGGGTGCGTCTGTGGGTGTGAGAGTGCTTGTGTCTCGCCATGGTCTTGCGCGGTGAGGAAAGCGGCCGGCCTGGCGCTCCCCTAGCCACCGCGGGGGTCCTGGCCCTGGGACCCGCTGGGCGCGAGGGGGCGCCGCGCCACCGTAGCCGGGACGCGCTGGCCCGGGTGGCCCGGGGGGCGGCGCGCGGGGCGGTGCCGGACTCTGGGCTGTGGGCTCTGGGGACGCCACGCTCCGCCCGGAGGAGCCACCGGCCCGCCACGCGGAGCGAGCAGCCCGGAGCCCGGCCCGGAGGTAAAGTTGAACTGGCACTGTTGGACCGGAGTCTGCTGCGAGCGTCTCTGAGACGGTGCGGGGAGAGGGCGAGGCTCTGGGGGGGCGGTGTGCAGAGGGTCCGGGGCGCGGGCACCTGTCGGCACCGAGGCGCAGCGCCGCTGGAGGGGTTCGGGCCGGGCTGGGGCAGGCGAAGCGGGTGCCGCCCTCGCCGGAGCCCCGGAGGTGCGGGCTCTGCCGCGTCGTGCGCTTTTATGGAGGTTCGGGCGGCCGCCAGAGGCCGGGTCCTGCTGCCGCCCCGTCTGCCCGCGTCGGTCCTACTGGAGCCAGGGTAAGAAGGAGAGGGGCGGGCAGAGGAGGTCCGCGGCCCGGGAAGGGGCTAGGGCTCTCCGGGACCCGCCGGGTGTGAAGGATGGGAGCACCGGCTCCGGGGAAGAGAGGTGACGTGGGCGAGTCCGCGGCGCTGGTTCCCTTTTCTGGCCAGAGTGGTGGTGAGGTGAACGCCCCCACACCCCCGCTTACACGCGTAGTCGCGTGCACGGGTGCTTTGCACGCGCGCTGCTGTCCTCGCATCCTGCCTTCTCTAACGCGCCAGGCGCCGACTTGGGAAAGGGGTGTGGGTCCCCTCGGTCTCGAATTTTGCCAACTCTTCTCCCTCCCCAGCCCAATGTGGGCTCCGGGGATCAGGCAGGCCCCTGGCCGGTACAGTGGCCCCAGGAGTAAGGAGTATTGGGTGCTGAGGGGGTCTGAGGCTCCGCAGCCGTAAGCATAAAGGTGAGCTGGCTACTATGCTCTCCCGACGCTTCTCTAAGCTCGCAATTTGCCACAACCCCTGCACATGTTTGCCATCCAAAGCTTTCAGACTCTGAAGGCCCTTCGGGATTCTGACCCTTGGAGCATTGCCACCGAGGTCGTCCACCGAGATCGTGCACCGAGGTCGAGCGCTGTTCTTGGGACTCTTGGTCACGTTGTCCAGATTTTCCTGAGCTTGGACGTGGGCGATTGGGGAGCTTGGATACAGCCTTGTCCTTGGCCCCTGAAATTCCAGGAAGTCCTTCTCCCTGCCTCTGGCCTCTTCTATCTCTTTCTTTTGCTCTTGGCTAAAAAAGTCTGCGACTAGGCCAGCGTTTGGATATATGGCATGCTATGAATAATGGAGTTTGACCTAGTCTGGGAGTGATGGAAGTGGTGGCTCACTCCTCAGCCCTGCCTTTGGGTCAGTTAGGTAAACCCCTTGAGTCAGAATCGCCTTGAGCAGGTCAGGGTTCTTTTCAGTAGTTTTCATTTCTACTGAGAAGTCAGGAGAGCAAGAGGGCTGTTCTCCCTCTCTGACCCTCCGTCCAGTCTTTCCATCTCCCTCTGACTGTTGCAGGGCTTTCACTGGCCTCTGGCTGACCTGGATAAGGTTCATTTACTATTGCCAGTGGGATATCTCTGTGTTCTCTTAAACTGAGAATCTAGAGGTTGTTGTGACTCATGTAGGGGTGAAATACACTTGACTGGATGTCCCTGATCAGTACCAGCCACAGAAAGAAGTGTGCAGCAACATGTGCAGAGGACTGTTGTTTCTGGGTCTCTCTATTGGGGAGACAAGATGAAGACGACTTCCCAAGGCCAGTGCAGTTTATATATTCCACTTTGTGATTTTTTTTTATTCCTTGAGATTGCCATAATTTAAGAAACAAATTGGGTGTTTGTGGAGGCAAGGGAAGAGAGGGGAATGAGTTCTTAGCTGACACTTAGAATGGAGCTATGTGGTTTTCCTTTTTCAGTGCCTACCAGAGTCCTGCGTGGGCCAGATGCTCAGAAAATGTGTGCTACTTGATTAATTGTTTGAGTTATAATTAAGAGCTTCTACCTAGTGTATGGCTGGGAGAGACATTATCATAATTACAGGTGTGTGTGCTGTAATTAGTAGGTCGTGTAAAACACATAGGTTGGTAGGAAATAACATGTTGGGGCTTGCCCTGGCAAGTGCAGGCCCCCAGTGTCTCTGCATTGGAGGAGTACGGGCTGAGGCAGATCTGATGAGGATTGGGGTCTTGTCCTATGGTTCTAGGCTAGTCTTCTGGAAGAAGTGCATCTCACTAGCTCCCCAGAGGGCAGGGTGAACTGAGGGGTGTCTGGAGTGGGAGGTGCTATAGGCTCAGCAACCCTGTGCCAATGTGTGAGGGCAGACTGGAGGGGAGCAGAAGGGGTTTGTGGGTGCTAGAGATGGGGAGATCTGGAGAACAAGGCTGGCCCTGGGTCCAAAACAGCCTCTTCAGTCTGAATATCTGACTGCTTGCCCACTGATGATAATTTCATGAGGAATAAAGGATTCAGGGCTAACACTATCCAACGGCACTCTAAAGGATGAGGCTCATGGGGTTCTCCACTGCCAGAATGGAGTGTGTGACTGGGTAGAGTCTGCCCTCAAATGGCACTCAGTGCCCACCATGAGGAGAAGCAAACATGCTGCTGGGGTCTGGCTCAGCAAGGCCCCACAGTGGCTGACTGACTGTGCCCCACGTCTGGACCACAGCGAGCTCCTGCACCAACAGCTGACTTGCAGTCTCCCAGACAGGTTGAGTCAAGGCTGGCTTTAAACAGCGGTCGCATCTGCACCTTTCAGAGCTGGGAGGCATGTGAGGTCCATTTCCAAGAAGCCCCACCCATCCCTCATAGTCTAGTAACTTCCTTTAGCAGAGTCTCCCTTTTCCAGAAAGGCCCAGGCAGGCCAGGGAGAGAGCTGGTCCCTTACTAACCAGTCATCACCTGCAGGCCCCAGAGCCTCCTTGGGGGCCCCTTTTCCAAACAGGTTGGTCATAAAAGCAAGCTAAGGAAGACACTTGCAAAGGAGCCACCAGCTAACCATCAACGAGATTCCTCTGAAGACAGAGGTACAGACTCAGGCCTCAATGGCCAGAGATGCAAGGTTGTTTCCAGGGCTTATGTAGACTTTCGTCCCTGAACTATGTGGGAAGGCTACACAGTGTGCTGTCTCCGTGCTCTAGCTTCAGAGAGGCTTGTTCATAAAGGAAAGCCAGAATCACATTCAATAGAAGCACCCAGCATTTAATTTGATAGAGAGTTTAGAAAAAGACTAATGGAAATGTCCATGTGTTCCAAAAAACACATGCGTTGTTTCCTTCCACTAAAGAGACTGAGTCTACAGAGCAAATCACACACACCTATGAACACAGAGGTCGCTCCAGTGGGCTCTTAGGCTTTGGGAACAGCCACCTCTTTGTTCCTCTCTCTGGTGAGTCATGACACCTCTTAGTTTAGCTCCCCCCCTTTCTCCAAGCACCCTCGTTACCTCCACCAGGCACCTGTGCAGCATGGCCTCCAGTGATGAAGGGAGGATGCAGGCTGTGGCACAAGAACTAAGTGGCCCTCCTGGCTATTTTAACCTCCTCAGATATTTAAACAATGGTATTTAACTGTTATGTTAAACTCCAGTGGTGCCTTGAAATCTAAGGCTAGAATTCAGGGGCCCTACCAAGCCTCAGAACCCTTGGGCTGATGTGCATATGATAGCAATTTTAGCTAAATTCCATCTCTAAGAGGCAGATTTAATTTTGTCAGTATTAACCATGGTAGGAAGAGCTGTGAGATCCTCTTGTGCCTGACTCTTAGCTCCACTTGTCCTACAGCTGCCTAGCTCTGGGGGCTCTGTGCCCACCGTGTTATCATACATGGCTCTATCTTCCAAGTGAAGAGGAATCAGTGTGTCTTCCAGATAACTTGGCATGTATTACACATGAATTTGCATCCTAGGCCCTGCCCTGGGGGTTCTAGTTTGGTACTTTGTGTGTGTGTGTGTGTGTGTGTGTGTGTGTGTGTGTGTGTGTGTGCAGGCCTGCACAGGCCAAGGCACATGTGTGGAGTCAGAGGGCAAACCCTGGATGTTGGTCCTTACCTTCCACCTTGTTTGAGACAGGATCTATTTGTTGTTCACTGCTATGTATACCACTGACCCTTGAGCTTCTAGGGACTCTCCCGTCTCTGCCTCCCATCTCAAAAGGCAAGCTTCTTGATACATTACCCTGGCTTATCACTCAGGCAGCTTGTACCTGATGGGACTCCCTTACCACATGGTCCATCAGTATTTTTTATCTCTTTAAATCTTCACTTTGTATGTCTTACTGTGGAAACCATCATGATCCCTATGCAGTGTCCTCAGGGGAGGTATTGCTGAGTCCCAGGATACCTGGCTCTGACAGCTTCCCTGTGGACTGTGGTGGTCACAGAGTTGTTAGCAGACGGAGGTTCTGTTGATGATGGGTGATTTGATATCATGGAACTTGGTGACCTTGGTGGAGCCTTTTCATCCATTGTCTTTTCTCTGTGCTGTCATCTGTTGCTTGTGATGATCTTTGTGGCTCTCTGCCACAGGTTTTGTTTGTCACAGTTCTGACATAGGTTTCTCCCAACATCATTCTGTGCTCCCAGGAAGGCTTTCCACGTTTCTTCTGTCCCTCAGCACTTCATCAGATGCTTCAGTGCTTGATGACCTCAGCCACCACACTACCACACATGTACCACGGCTAAAGTAAGTTCAGTTAGCAGATGCTTCTGAGTATTTGCTGTGAAATGAATTCTGTGTTGTAAGGGATGTGTTAGAATTAGGAAAATATCTCAACTACTAAAACCTAGATTTCATTGTAGAAAGAAGGAAATACACACAAGTGTGTACTCACACATGTGCACACATGCATTATAGCCTGATGGACAAAGGAAATAAACAAGTGATGGAGAGAAGCTGGTGTGAAGGCCTCAGAACAATGAGGGATCAGGGGCAGCCAATCTGAGCCACATGGTCTATGTGTTCATGAGGATCCCCCATGTTAGTGTGACAATAGAACATAGGTTTTAGTCATCTTTCATTACTATAACAAGACACCTGAGGTAAGCTACTTTATAAATAAAAGATGTTTATTTAGCTCATACTTTAGGAGCTGAGAGTCTAGGGTTTATTTTGGCTCACTATTGCAGCAGAGGGATGCAGTCCTTCCTGGCAGGGAAGACAGGGACAG